CATCCCACTGTTCTATCAGTGGAATGGAGATTGTCTTTGGCAACTTTCTTTCCTGCTGCCACTACCCCATATGCTAATAAACAGTAAGCCAGCATTTCATGTCTTTTCCTTCTGACCTCAGAGTTCCAGTTCCTCAGCCTAACTAAATACTGCATCAGTGCTCTCAAAAAATTAATGAAATTCTCTTCAACACATTCTATGGTGAATATATAAGTACTAGGGAAGGATGAATGCATCAACTGTATTCTTTTCAGTTTTCTTAGGTTTCCTACATTAAGGTCATTCTGTCCTATTCCCACATGTTTGCAAATTAATTTTTTAATAAGTCCACATGAAAATTTGTGCACCTTCTCATGTGTATTTCTCAAAATATATGCATTTTTAAATTATACACATTTTCACAGTCCATTCCTTTAAGAAAAGGACATAGCTTTCTTGCATGCACATCTCTGTATGTATTTATGTGAATACCTTACTATAATATATTTTTGTATTTTTTGGAAAAAAAGTGCAAACTCTGAAAAAGTCAAATATTGGCATTTAAACTGCATTCTGCTTCATCTCCAAGTTCAGGTGATGCGCATTTGACAAGTATGCATAAAAATCCAAACTAAATGGATTCAACACACACACACACACACACACACACGCATAATACATCAGTGAAGAACTAAACTCTGAACTCTTATGTTTTAAAGTTATATAAATAATATAGATATCAAATAGCTACCCAGAGGCTTATCTGATTGCTGTAAACGTCAAGCAACATGCATTATATTTTAAAAAGCACAATAAATAAATAAATGTTAGCGTTACAATCTGAAGAAATGCTCTAATAAATGTTTAAGATTTAACGACACGATATAACTATGAAAATGAACATGCAAAAAACAGGAACATGTTAATTCTATACAAATAACTGTTACTGTGAAAGTGAAACAATTCAATTACTATGACAGAGACAAAACAGAGAAGAGAAATAAAGCAACAGAAAAGCATAGAAAGAACTGAAAACACAGCAATTTAAATTTACACTTATAAAACATTGCTTCCAATAAATTATTGGTTCTCTACCACCTGAACCCCACCCCAAACAGAAGTGAGACAGTACAATGCTTTGATCCCAGAGAGATTCTTACAGCCAAGAGAGACAATAATAGATGTATATTGGTGCTTTGTTTTATACACAAGGCAGATGGAAAAAGAATATGCCACTCTTATCATCAGTATCAGGCAGAGTATGGTGCAAGTCTACTTTTACTTCCTATCCAGACCGTTCCTGGGATCCTAACCCAGCCTATGAAGCCATATTGATAAGAGGGACAGTTTCAAAAGAAATGTTTTTAAGACTAAGGTATGAAAAGTCTTTAGCAGCATGATCTTAAATGCATTTCAGTTTATATTAAAGGAATTAGCCCAATTCTCTATACTGTACCATATGGGCACACACCTCTGAAATGTTCCAGAACAGCTTTGTTTAATTACAGATGGCAGTTATATGCTTATCTTGCTCTCACACTTGTTATAAATCAATTTTGCAATGATGTATTCCAAGATACAGAAGAGGGTTAGTAAGAAAATCATCTTTTTTTCTCTCATCAAGCTGTTGAATTTAAAGGCTAACTATAATACTAACTGCATACAACTATATAGTTGCATAACTAACTATACAATTACTGAATACATGCAGACATGAGAGCTCAAAACACTTTAGAAACCTCCCAAACAGGTATAATCCTGGACACTGATATTATTCAGAAACTGCAAAACCCCACTATTTGTTAAAGGGCAGCTTGCCCGACTGTGCCCTTTCCACACATTATGTGTATGTGGTTTAAGAAAAGAACAAGGTTCAAAAGTTTTCCTGAAAGACTGAACTAAAGAGACAGAAGAGTTAATATGGAAGGAGATACAAAAGCTTCGGCCAGGCGTTGAAGAGCTTTGGTCTTGATGGTATTTCACTTAAGCCCCACTATTTCCAAGATCACAAAAAAAACAGCCACCATACAGTCAGTGCAAGGATCACCAAAAAGGACATCATGAAAGGAATGCGTGGAGAAGGAAAAATGCTAGAGTAGAGGCGACATTTTTTGAGTGATTTCTGCTCCTCGGGAATTGTAATAGAAATCTTTGCTCGGATTTCTTCGTTTGCTCGTTGGGGCAAAATTCCCTCAGTAGTTGTCTCTTGCCTTTTAATATTGTCTTCATCCTGAACTAATAGAGGACGTTCCTGTGTCTGCTTTTATGGTAGAAGATCAAGAAAGACAGAGATGAACAAAATGACAGATGGAAAGTGCTCAAAATGATACTTGGGGATGTGCAAGGACAAAAATCACAGAAATTGCCACAGTCAATGAGTCAAGATGCTGGTGCATTTGATAAGTTCTTCCATTTATCCTATGTCTAGAACCAAATTGCACAGAGAAACAGGCTGCTTTCTAACCTTGTGGAGTGAACCTATGTTGCTAGCAATTCTTTATACAGAAATCTATTACATGTTACATATTTAGCACTTACATGCTAAAATATACATCTGTGTGTTAAATTATAGAAATGTATATGAAACAGTAATTCTGTTGCATTATAAAGAGAGTCTCATATAAAATGTTCATTATAACTTTCTTTGCTAAGCTGATCTTAAAATGGCATTATGTTGCTAGATTTGATTTTAAATAGTATAAATACAATTGATTGGGATTTGTAGAATGACTTACATGAAATATAATATCAAAATTTCCACTTTAAAATTAAATTGTGGTTAAAGTGCAAAGTGTTCCATCCCTTAAAAATGAAGAAAATGTCATTTTTATTTTTAATGGGACATATATATAGAATTGAGTTTTGTTCTACATTTTTTTCTGTGTCACCAGTGTGTCAAGTATAGAAAACAATGTTTCAGTATTATGTGAAAATTGAGCATAGATTAGAAAACTCATGGGAAATGTTTGCTTTAATCTATTAAAGAAGTTTCATCTGTTTATTTTTTCTATGTATGGCAAATGAAATGAGATACTTAGGATAGGAAAAATTTGGCTCTAAGCTCTCTCAGCTGAGATAATCTTCTTTGATCAGCCTGATATTTGGGGACAGGGTCTTTGCACACCCCTAAGTGATGGGTATCAGGGAAAAAATAGCTGGGGGGCTGGGCAGCAAAACAGAAATTATACAGAATGCAAGAGTAACATGAACGTTAAAACAAAAAAAATAGAAGAAGAGAGGAAGACAACATAAAAAGAACAGGGTACAGTTAAACTTTCATAATTGCTCTTTCTTTCTAAATCTATGGCAACATCTTCATGCAACTCTGTCAACCAGCCATGCGCTGAAAAAGCAATCGAAAAGCTGCAGAGGCTCGCAGCAGTGCAAATCCTTGTAAGGTGTTAGATCAGGAGGCTGTGAGAGATGAAATTACTTTAAGAAGGCAGCCAAAAAAAAATGCCACTCAGCAGCTGCTGTTGAGGGTTTTGTTTTGCTCAGTGCCATTACAATAGCAAAAATCTGCTTCAGAAGCACATATCAAAACAGCAGCTTTACCTCTGGCCCACCAACCTGCCTCTCACAGGACTGAAATGTGGCTTTCTTGACCTGGACGCACAAATATGAAAAGTTCAGTTGTCTTGTGAATTAATTTTTTCAGCATATAAAGACTTTGCAACAGTTAAATAACCATTTAATTTCTAATGACTACTAGTGATTGCACATTCTTCTTTCTGGGTAAGACAACAATTTAACAAACAAGACATGCATGTCAACTGATGTAATTAACAGTTGTAATATTACTGAGAAGCAGGATCATGGAGATTAACCTGAGAAAAAGAGAGCTTTTTCCAATATTATCCGCAAGTTATAGTAACCACTGTTGTAGGATGGCATGTATTATTTATTCCCCTTGTACATGACTAACCCTTATGAGCAATTCTTAGTAATATCTACTCAACTGCATTCTGAAGAAAGATTACTTTGATCAGAGCTCCAGAAGTCTACCATGAAAGGTCTTTCACGCTGTTTCACTATCAACAAGGATTCGTCATTTAACATTGTAAACTTTCAATGAAAATGCAATTAGAATCAATGACAACTTCCGCCCCCTTCTCCTTCAACATCTTCCCATTAACTTATTACCTAATAGTAATTTTGGAATACATGAAGATTACTCCACTTTAAAAATACCAGATGCTATGAATATTAAATTAAAAGCAGTATTCATTGCAACTGGAACATTTATTAGCATGTGCTGTTAAATATCACATTCAAGCTACTGGATGAATCCAAAGAACCACGATCAAAATGGAAATAGCTACTAGCTCTTTTCCACAATGCTTGCCCAAGAATTCACTCAGTCCTACAATAGGTAGGCTCTGTTGCAGTTCTCTTGGTTCTACATGTGAGGTTTCACAAATTCTCGCACAAATAGAAGAACCATGTTGAATTTACTATTTTCTCATGCAAGATGTTTGGTAAATGGAAGATACTTTCTACAATGTGAAAGGGCATCACTGGTCCAATTAACTGTAACTGCTATTGCAGGGCGACATTTAAAATTCTAAGTTTCATAAACATGTCAAAAATATTCAGATATATTTCTTATTAACATAGAATAACAGTTTGAAGGCTTACAACAATTACCATCTAATGACAGGAAAGATGAAGACATATATAACAAAGATTAAAGGAGAACTGTCAACTAATGTGGGTGTCACTTGACAGAAGCGCTATTTGTAAAAAATACCTTACGATTTGTCACACTATGACTTTTTAACCCCGCCCCCCAAACGCTGCAGCAGCCTTATGAGAAAGAATCACTTCAGGAAAAATAGTTAGAAAACTGACATGAATATATTCCATTAAACACAGAAAATGAGTAACTGACAAACCATAAATACTCCTGCTTAATTTTTCATTTATTTTTCAAATTAAACTTAAATTCTGTGGAGATCTAAAAATTTCATTAAGAGCAAAGCCAAATGAATCACCAATTTCACACTACATAAAGTACTCACTCCTTCTACTCCTGTGGGGATCTGTCCATTGATGTTAAGAGTCCTGAAGGGAGAATGAGTAGAGAGACGCTTGTCCCATTCACTCGGCCGTGGTTCCGGAACAGATTCCATAAAGTTTTTCTTCAGTTCACTGATGTTAGCATGATGTTTTTTAATCTCCTCTTGAGCTTTATCCAGATCCTATTGTTCAAGAAAAAATCCAAAGCACAAAGTATAGAAAATGTTACTGAGAAATGGATTGACAGCCCCCCCCATGCTATCAAATTTGTTGTACTAAGTGGCTCATTCTCTATTAGCAGTACTTGTAATCTGAACTGAAACACACAGGGGGCACCACCTTTCATCCTTTCTTTTCTTAGATATCGAAAGATATCCATATCGTTTCTTATATATGGAGTGATTTCACTAGCAATTAAAAGGCATCCAGTAACTTTAGAAATACTTTTCAGCGAAAATCCTTCTAACTGAAATTAACAAAAATAACTCTCAATTATTAATTCAATAGTTTCCCCTACATTTTCTATTACCTTTAAAAGATGATTAAATATATATTCTTCAATGCATAACAAATACAATTAGTGTTTTTGAAGCTGTTAAACCTATACCTACTTACCTGAGTATAAACACTAAACTTGGTGGGATTGACTTCTGAGTAGACACATCTAAGATTGCTCTATAAGATACTACTGCTAGTATCTGTTTATTCCTATGTTGCATGTTTTATAGTGCGTAAAAAGGTAGCTTGTATAGACCCTTTCTGCAAAGCAGCAGCATGAACTGGTTAAAGCTACACACGCATGCACACACACACACACACAAACACATTTTCCAAAGGACATTATTACCTGTTATATAACATAGAGTCACTAAGAGAGTTGCCTGCAAATCTAAATCTTGAAAATTATACTACTTCCTCCTTGTACTTTCCACCAGAATATAGTTTAGTTGGTGATTCAATTTACTATGTTTAGAAAATGACATATGGAGGTTTCCCTAGGACAGTACCATTTCAAAAAGCAGATGAGGAGACTGCATGGTTGAGCACACCTCACCTTCATGGCAAAAATAAACTGCTCAAGAAAACTAAATGTATCTGTAGCATCTTTCTCCATCACCTGCTAGTTTCTATGTTCAGGAAGCCTTGTTTATGTAGGGGACATATTCAGCATGTACAGTGGTGCCTTGTACATGACAAATTACTCTAAGTTCGAATGACCCAATGTTCAAATTTTCCAGAGTCTGAAAGTTGAGATGAAATCGTTCGTAAGTTTGAACAATGTTTCCACATTCGAACTGTATGTGCAGTGAAAAAAATAGAGTCATTGCAGGAAAGTCATCTGTTGTGCACCCAAATTTTCGATCATTTTCAGTGCCTTTTCAGTGTATGCCTTTTTGATCGTTTTCAAGCTTTTCAATTGTTTTCAAGCTTTAATACTTTTGGCATTTAATTGTGTTCTTTTTACCTTAAATTATGTGTATTTGCTGTTTAAGTTTATTGAAATGGGTATTGTTTAGGATCTGGGAACGGATTAATTCACTTTCCATTATTTCCAATGGGAAAAACTGATTTGGACTTAGAATGATTCAGAGTTCAAATGGCATCCTGAAACAAATTAAGTTCAAAGTACGAGGCACCACTGTAATTTCCAACTTGAATTCTTGTTTCCAGGATCTAACTGGTAGACTGCTGTGTGGCAAATAGGATTTGTAGGCATAATCTGCAGGGCTATCAAGAACATCTTCAAGATATCACAGCACCACAGTGCTTAGCTTCACCCCTCAAACTGAGGACTAATAAGTGACATCAGATAGTAATGCTCTGTTTTGGAGACTTGCACTGTGGCAATTATGAATGACTTCTAGTTTTGGTGTGTATCTCAAAATTTGAACTTTCCAGAGAGAAAAATGGCCTTGGATGCCTTTTATACAAACACAGAACACAATTCAGCCTAGACATGTAAAATGTCCAGAAATTCTGAGACCATTAAAAAAAAAAGATTTGTCCAACATTTTTCTTTTTTTGTAGGGGACAGGAGCAATCCAGACGTCTTGGGAAACCATGAAAAATATACCACACTTGATTTTTCTATCCTCTTTATGTAAATTTGCTTTCTAACTTCAAGAACATAAATGTATTATGTAGAACTTGGTTTCTTCATAAAAGTATAATTAAAATAAGTTGTGGGTCATGCAAAGAATAATTTGCATAATAATTCATGGTAGCTTATTTTGACCATGTAAACCAGCCCACTAACTAACTGACAGACAGGATTTTATAGAATGAAGTTCAAACTATCAAGAATACACTTTTTCTTCACATATTACGGCATTGTGAGTCTAGTCATATGTTTGAAAATTAAGCATTACTTGCAGCATCCCTAAGTGTCTCTCAGTAAAAGATACATCAAATCAGCAACTTTAATAAGGAATGGAAGAAGTAACCATGCTGAGAATTTTACAGAGGGTATTTAAAACATTCTCCTTATGGCTTCATAATTTCCCATAAACTTATATCTCCAATTTTCCTATACAATTTTCCAATTATGCACTTCTTAGAAATCATTTGGGAGGAGTAATGGCCAGATAGCAATATATGAAACCATATATATTTCATATATATAAAACCTTGCTTCATATATTGGCCATTTTTGGCCATCTAAATATTTCTATTATGAGAAGGAGGGGCTGAGGCTCCACCTAGATTTGGCAGAAGCTAGTGAAGCATCGCCTCTCCCCTAGAACAACTCCAGTACCCATTCTGAAGATAGGCTTCCTTCTTTGCAGCCTCAGCCAAGCACACAAAAAACCATGCCAGCTCAGAGGATAGAGTGGAAATCCTCCAAAGAACCCTAGTTTGTCTACAGGCCATTTTACTATACTCTTAAGCATTTTAATCATTCTAAAGGGAAGTATTTCGAAATCCAAATCTTTTTCATTAAAAAAGGGTCTTTGTTAAAAATGGAGGGAAAAATATCCCCCCCCCCTTTCTCAATTTTCCCCCACCTGGGATTTCACTTCTAGTTCAACTTCCCAAAGAAAACCTCCTTTGCATGCTACTAAGATGGATGGATGGATATGGCTTGTTCCACTTTGGCCTATATTTTTGCTCTGAGAATTGAGGGATCACCCCAGCCCTTTTATCAGTATCCAAAGTCTGCATCATGGGAAATGATACAGTCCCAAGGTAGGCTATGGAATATATATCTGAATACTTAGAATTACTCTTGTATAAACATAAATGGCATATTTCCATGTAAAAGCTATACTATTTTTGTCAGTGATCTAGTTCTTAAGATCTAAAATCATGAGATTCTCAAAGTCCAGATTCTTACATACAAAAGGCTAACTGGAAAAAAGATGCATGCAGCTAGAGATGGTCCACAGAAAATCTGGGACATTAAAAGTCAAGAAACAAACAACCATGTTACGGTGGGTAAGGTTGCTTATGAAAAATGGCTGATTATCTAATTTCTATTAGGTGGGCTGTCAACATTTATGCAGAGTTACCAGCCACTGAGTGGAAAGAGACATGTACTATCAACATATAAACAACCCCAACTATTTTATTTCATGTGCAGAAAAGATTGCCCTATTCAAAACAGCCTGTATTTTCTGTAATTATGGCAGCTTTTGTGAAAATCATACACACATCTCTAAAGTCATCCTTGCTTCACAGAAAGATCCCACGTGAAAAAGATGGAAGAGACCCCTCTTCCCCCCCACCCCACCCCACCCCACCCCAATCTGGTGCTTCTCCTCTGAGGGGTTTATGGTGGTTTAAATCTATGATGAACAGTACAACTTTAAAATGGTACTAAGATATTGCTTTTAAAAAGATTTAATTGCACCAACTGCATTTCTTTTAATTACTGTTGTGCTCAGCTTAATTAGTGGAGACATATACTTAAGAGCTTCAGTGGATCATGGTTTACATATAAATACAATCAGAAGAAACTGTAATGCATACAGCTAAAGAAGCAGGAGAAAAGAATATCAAGTGATTATTTCAAGCTGTTTGATTAGTCTTTTTGTTTGTTTTTGCTTTTGTTCATGGCCTGCACACCTGCAACAAAACAATTAAGAGCCAGATCAGGCAAATATAAAAGTTAGCAGTAGGCACTGGAACACAGATGCCATGTGACAGAGCTTTGTATGGCAATAGGAGAATAACAATACTGCAAAGAAACAAGCGTATCAAATTAAAAACCTCTATTGGGAGGAGATAATATATCAAACAAAAAGATTAAGGTGGGACTAGAAGATTATGACTGAAATCTTCACTGCCTTTTGCCAGATGATCTCCTGCTGACTGGAATACAGACCATTTTACTGATGTCCAAAAGGTCTGCATTGTAGCAATCAAACCCAAAAGCTGCAAAGCACCAAATTAAAATGTCAAATAAGTAGTTAGTGCATTTTTTAAAAGGACACTATCCAAGAAAGTCTTATTAATGGTTGATTCTGTAATTGTGGACAAAACATGTGACATATAGAAATACTCAGTAGAAGAAGCCACACATCTCCTAATATCAAAAATATGTGATTGGAATATTCAACACCTCCAGGACTCGGCTGATGTACGTTATAAATACAATCAAGGCAAAGCAGCCAAGGTATACTCATGTAGTCAAAGTCTCCAAAAATTTAGTGACTCTAGATTTAGTAGAAGCTGAAAGATAAATAAGTCAAAGTTGAGTGAATGGCAGTTTGCACAGAAAAGAACCTCCTTTCAGTATGTGGAAACAGCTACATGGATTTCTCAAAATATGCCTTCAGAGTCATTATGATGACATGCTACTTCCTGCCATTGTGATGAGATTCTACTTCCTGTTTTCAAAACTCTTTGAAAACTTAAAGATAAACTATTCTAACACCAGTCTTTTAAATGCTCTTTTAAATGCTCCTTTGCATTGTATGAGGGCGAAACAACATTTCAAAGTAATTATTTTGGTATTACCAAGCTCATCTGATAATGCCTTTGATTTTACTTTCTCTTCCCACGGAGATGCATAGCTATTCCATTGTCTCCTAGCTGGAAGTATTTCCTTGATGATCTGTGTAGAGAGGATGGATAGGGACAGGGAAGCAGTTCAGGGGTAGATCACATGCTTGCACCAGAAGGTCCCAGACTGAATTCCTAGCAAGCCCTTCGGAAAGGGGCTAAGAAAGGCTCCCATGTGAAACCCTATGAAGCCAATCAGTATAAGCCACTCATCAAGATGGTTTAGTGGTCTGACCTGGTCTGACGCAGCCTTCTGCATCAAATTACGCATCATACTATGCCTCTATACGCTCCACCTTGATTACTTGCCAATGTCACTACATTCCTTTAAAATTGGCCCTGCTCCCTTTTAGAGAAAATAACTACAATGGACTACAACTCCAGTGAGAACTAATATATACAGAATATGTGTTCAATCAACTGAAAACAAGTGCCTTACTAGGAGTACTGAGCACACAATAAAGGGTGAGCATGATCTTTAGAACAAAAGAAAATGTTAAGGCAAGAATTCTGCTAGATTTCAGGCAACTTTTGAGGTTAATTGTCCAGAATTACAGTTCTGGAAGAGGGGAAGGTTACCTATTGCCCAACAGTGGGATTTTGTCAGTGAGATGGAAAGAGAAATGTCCTCTAATCACTAGGTATTACTATTTAGTTTGGCTTCACTTCTTCTTTACTTCATGCAGTATCTGAAATTAAATTTCCAGAGTTACGAATATTTTTCTTCACTTCTGCTCTCTGCATTACGAAGAACCACATTCTAATTAGTATTAGGAATGTTTCTAAATAACTGGTAAGCATGGGTCCTGGATAATGCTTATCTATCGGCAGTCTGTGTAGGAGCCATTCTTTCCATACTAAGCCAGCTGTGGATTCTGAAGTAAAGCAGGGGAGGCAACTGCACCACTGGCAGTATGTCTGCATGCACCTCACAACACACTGGTTTTTAAACAAATGAGTTGTTGTTACATTCAAACTGCTTCACTAGTTCAGCCTAACCAACCTCACAAGGCTATTGTCGAGGATCAAGTACAGTTCAAGTGCACCATCTCATCTGCCCTGGGTTTCTTACCAAGGTAAAAATGGGCAGCACATAATATAGTAATAAAAGGCTAACCCTAACCCATTTTTCCTGAGTCTCTCTCTAGCAGAAATTTAGACAGGTTTTTCACATCGTACAGGAAAATTAAGTCTGTTTAACATGTTTTACAAAATGCAGACCAATGCTTTTTCACCATGCCCAGGAATGTTTTCTAGTTTTTGTTTAGCTCAGGCCTGAGTAACAGTTCTGAGGATCAAAAATGTTTTACTACTTGCTCCATTAGTTAATTCTAATAAAACTTCTATCCTAATATCTAGCAGCTTTTCGAATATGAAACAATTATTCCTCTAGTTAAAATGGAAAGTACTTAAAAATAAGTGATACATTCAGTGCATTGAATGAACCCAAGATTAAATATTTATTCTCAAAGATAGCATGTAACAGAACTGTATCACAAAACACTACTCCTAAATCCTGAATACTTCCTTGATGTGAGTTACATTCCTGTGGGCCCCAGGGTTGAAGATGGCTATTTATAGGCAGGCATGTAATCAAATTACTAAACTTTGAGAAACACATTTAAGAACTATCCCAATCACATATTTTCAGGTAAACATAACCGAAAAAATTAAACAGGTTGGAAAAATGGTTGCATAGTGTTATGTTTGTTGCTGACATGCAAAAGCCTATTCTAAATAATTTCATGCAACAGCATGCAAAACAAAACAAAACACACACACACCCCAAAACGCAAATGCAGCAGCAGAGGAGGAAAAACAGTTCAGCAAAGAATGCAGAAGGTCCAGGCAAAGGCAACTGAAAGAAGCTTCAAATTCATACCAACCTCCAACATTAAATTGCTATGTCTTATATAAATGTTTTCACCATCTAGTCTCTTTGATCTTTTCTGTGAATTGAAAGAAAGGGGGGGAAACAAACAAAAAAAAGCACAAAATAATTTAAAAGGTTGTTTTTGCAGGAATTTGCAAATCGGAAAATGAAAAAGGTTAAATTAACATTTGGTGAGCCGTGGTATGCCAATGCGGCATAGAATATGGAGCCACAAGATCATGTGAAGGATCTGAGGAGAATGTGAGTTCTCTTGCTCATGAATCATGGGAGAATGTAATGAGTTCCTTTTAAAAAGACAGTATTCAGAGCTTCATTGGCTTATTTGTGCTATCAGCCTCCTAGTGAAGACATGGTCTAGTACTTTCTGTTGAAGACAACAGATTTTTAGGAGTACAGCTATACAGGGCATTAGAACTGTTCTCCTGGTTTTCCAGTGCATCTAAGAAATCATTTGTAAAACCAGTATTTAATAATACATGATATACCTACGTATATGTCTACAGTCTAGCATACTTCTACATCATATTACTTCTACTGCCAAATATTTTTCATTTCCTCAAATGCTGACTGTTTAAGTTTTCATGGAAGGGTGGGCAGATTTCTTGCAAATTGGGAAACACAGAATGGAAAAATATGTTTTTATTCAAAATTTTAAAAACACCTTGGTCCAGCTATTGTTGGACAATGAGGAGTATTCTATACACTGACATCTAATGAGTGAAATAAAACTACACAAAGTAACTAGAACACTGCCTTTTTAAATACATTATATATGTATGAGTGATATGATAATTTTTCTTTGATGGAATTGAAAAAACAGCTAACCTTCCTCATTCTTATCGGGTCTTCCTCTTTTTCTGCACGCTGCTGTTTTGTGACAATTAAAAAGACAAAAAAGTGGATTTATTTATCTGAAATGCTCATGTTTTAGCCTTTTTTTCTTTTTTCTTTTTTGAAAAGAAAGAATTCAAGCAACCTAGCCAGACAAACCTGATTTTGGTCACCATTTGTGGTGGGTACTGACACTTCGATATGCACTTTCCCCACCTACATTAAAAAAATAAAGTGGCAAAAACATTTTTGTTTTTGTTAGTAAGTTTTTAAGACAGCTTTGTTTCAAAAACAGCTATTTGTTTTTGAAACATTGTGTAAACATGCATTAACATGCAATTTGTTGAAGAGAAATAAATGACACTATATTTTACAATGACAATTTGTTAGTTCAACATAATTTTAAATTAATACTTCTTGTTCACAAGGTTTTGGTCAATTTCTCAGTAAATAATTTTAAATATGAATATACATTATAGACCTATATACCTAAAAATGTCTCTTTATACATTTTAATGAATTCATGCTTGTGCCAAAAGGCATAAAACAACACTATGAGAAATCTGTTACATTATAGCATTAGAAATTGATATTGATTGACAAGTCAGTGTGATAGTTTAGAATGGCTACTGAGGAACCAAAGCCATTAGTATGGTAGCCCAGTTCCTGAGAGGAAAAGGAAAGCTATCAGTTTGGCAGGCATTAAAACATGTCACAGAAAAGACTTAGGACTGGCAAGTGGTCCTGGTCAGGACACAGCAAAAGAGACAAAGTACCCAGAAGCAAGGAGACCAAATGATGCAGAGTATGCAATTGACTTCAAAACAAAAACCTAGGTTAGTTGAAGAATGGGTGTTGAGGAAAGGGACAGAAGAGACAAGAAAGTGAGAAAAGAAGGTGCAAATCAGGGGAAGGGTTCTGGAAACAACTTCACAATGCTTAAGACCAGGAGGTGCTATATGGGAGCAATGGAGGAGGAATGTAAAAGGAAAAAAGAGATTAGGAAAGGAGCCCAGAAACAGTATAGCCAAAGAAATGGGAGAAAGGAGGCAGTTGACTAAAAAGTGAAAACCTAAGTTCAAATGTACTGCTGGGTCCAGAGAACTGGAAGCGCAAAAAATAAAGTCAAAAACACCTTCTGCAAACACTTGTGCAAGTGAGGGCTGCCATAAGAGTATGTGAAATGCAACAGAAAAGAAGATTCTATATATCTGTTTATTACATTTCTGGCCTGCCTTTTTTCCTCTTGCAAGGAACCCAAGGTGGCTTGCACAGAAGAATACTTTCAAATTTAGTTTCATTGTTCACATGCAGTGTTCTACCACAATCATAAAATAGCCTTTCTGTGAATAGAGGATGAAGAGCCAAGGCAGAAGAATTGAGTAGAGCCTAGAAACAGAAGGGAGTGTGGACATGCAATCAAAGGAAATTTTGAATACTACAAACTGTGGGCCCGGGAGGCAAAAGGCAAATAAGTGCTAAATCTGGAAGATCCTGGCATGGGAATTCTAACTCATTGTGGTTTGTACTGCCACTGCGTCATTGTTGTTGGCAACCCTAAGGGTAAGGGTAAGAAATGTGGGAAAAAGTGAATTTCAGTTATTGATTTAAATCAGGACTGTCCTTGACCTCTATTTAAACACAATAAAAAGATAGCACTCCATTAACTTGAACAGAAACAGAGGCTAAAGTCCCTGCTGAAACATGACTTGGAGGGATGAAGTCCACTTCCCACCAAGATATTGTTCCACCGCTTTGATCTCAAAATTTCTATTTGTGATGGTATCTGGACACATTTTGAAACTGTCAAATGTGTTTGTAATTTAAATTAAACAGTCATGCTATTTGTTTAAGCTACAAGTTTCTAAAGTTTAAAAACAGTCCTATAACATATATTAAAAAGCAATCAAATTAATAAAAGGTCATATACAACACACAATCACATTTACATAACAAAACAAAATGTCAATGTCATCACAACTATGCAAACAATAATTCTTTAGATCCCACTTTAAAAGTAATATACTTAATATATAGTACGCTTTTTCACATATTGAGAACTGATTCTGTAAACAAGAAAGTCAAGGAGTTTGCTAATTGTGAAAATTATTTCCAGAATGCACTGGGCCTGAATAAAATGTTGCAGCATTCCCTAAAACAGTTTTTCTCCTGCCTATTTGCCTTATGTAGAGCCTTCCTACTTTGGTTTTGTGCAGTCTTTACGTTAGATCAATTTTTAATGACATGTTGCAGCAAAGTTTATAGGATGTTAAAAAAGAGAAGGGAGTTAAAATTGGAACTTTTAATGTAAAAAAGTAAGGCTCTTCTTGCCTCCAATCACATAAATGCTCTTACTGAAAACAATCAAAAAGTAAAGAAACACCTGCATACAATCAACAGTAATAGGAATTAAGTACGTCAGTGTATCCTTAGAGTCAGGGTTTTCAACAGGAGTTAAAATATATTTTACTGTAAGAAAAGAGACTACTGGGATCAAAAGAGTTCTGACTACATATGCTACCAATGTTGGCATTGTTGATTAACAGACCTGTATGTCCCAGAAATATAATGTCTGGGGTCACAGTGAATGCTGGGATGAAACCCTGAACTGGGAATTTCCTCTGGGAAACCAATGGAGGAAAAACACTGAACAAGTTTCATCAGAAAAAAAGCTAGAGAAGGGGATGACGCTTTCTAACTACAACTAAAGGCTACAGTCACCCTGTTAAGCACAGTATTCAAGTTGTATGGTACTTCTAGGATACAAAAGAGGAAAAAAGATAAGGGAGGAGCATTTTAGGGACTCTCCCAAACAGTCACAGTGGAAACTGGTGAGAAAGCTGGGCTTGAGCTGCCTTCTCCTGCATCAAGGGGAGAAGACAGCAGAACAGGGCAAGTGCTGCCATCTAGTGTGAGGTGAAAAGGCAAAACAAATGAAAATTTAAAGAGACTGTATTCAATGGCTGTTTTGGGCAGCAAGAACCTTCATCTGGGCTCACGATACGGATCAAATCTCATGCAAATGCCACTCTACCAATACCAATACACTTCTCTCACCAAAAAATAAAACTGACAACCTAATGTTACATGTTAAGAATAGTAGTCTAAAAATACCTGGAATCCTTCACATGGCTCTGTTTTTGCCTTCTCTGGTAGAGTTTCTTCATGTTTTACTTCTTTTCTCACTGTTTCCTTTTCAGATTTAGTGATGGTTGTTTCCTTTCTATCAGATACAGCTGTGGGTGCAGATTCAGTTGCATGGCTTTGAGCAATAGCTGGTGCTGATGTAGGGCGAGGACTTCGGTCTGGTGTAACCACTGCTACTGCTGAGTAGAAATAATATTTTTAAGACAAGGTAGGACAAAAATTAAGTTTCCATCACCACCACAACCAAGGAGCAGGGGAAGAAGAAAGAAAGAATTTTCAAGTCACAGCACTGCAAAAGAAAGTTGTGCAAAGCAGTTGGCAAATTTAGTGCAGAAAGCTAGAGTCGTTTTTAATATGTACTGAAATAAGTGAAGAAAGCAAAATCAGATACTGCCAAACAGCCATAAATTGAGTGCTAGCAAACACCACATTGTTTAAAGAGCATCAACATTTAGCTGTAATAAATAGCTAATTGTGGCATGAGTAGTAAACACTACATCACCAGTTGATTATTGCTATTAACCTCCAAACAATGCACCCCAAAATAAGAAAATTTAAGCCCTTTGAGTTTGTTGCCAATTATAAACATGTTGTATGAATCTTGTGCCACACTGAAGACAAAGTGACATCTCTCTGTTAGGAAGGGTGGTCAGGTCCAAGCTCCTTCGTCTTTTGCACCAGACAGTCAAAAGCCTAAGGTTATGAGGGAAGAACCTTTAAAGTGATTCTTTCTTGCACCAAATACATCCTTCCTGGAAACTGGGGCAATGCTAACAGCAGGAGTCACAGCATGTGTTCATCCCACATGTTTTCACAGCAGAAAGGGACTAAAACTGCAGTACCTCCACAATGTAACAACTTCAGAAGGAACCTTAAGAAAGAGCTCTGAGGCAACAGGCAGGTGAACCAGCAGCGCCCAGTTAATGCCAACTTATTACAGAATATCAACTAGCATGCAAAAATTCTAAGTACTCCACATTGTTAGATATTCTCCAAAAGAATCTATATCCTCACAAAAGTCATTTCCAAAGTCTGCATTCTAAAACTGAACATGTTTCATCAGTTAAGTAAAAGCGATTGTTGCCAAGTTAAGATATACTCAAGCTACAGTGCAGTCCTGGCCAGTGGATGTTAACTTTTCCTACAATCCAGATTTGACTCTTTAGCACTAAACGAATGCATGATTAAATTGTATAAAGGGTGTGGGATTATGCACTTCATCCTCTCTGTTATGTCCTCCAAAAGTACAGATCCCTTTTCATTTCCCCATGCTGTAGGCCTAATCTATGTTTCCACTGGAAATACATGCTTACCCACACTGACAGTGCAATTGCTCTACAAGACAGTGTGGCACAAGTACGGAAGAGCATGTGTACTTCAAAGAATAAAACTGCATCCAATCCACATACGCCCCCCTTTCAGAGCTGCTGTTCCTAGATATTCTCTAACTTTCATAATGCCATGTAGTTTCAGAAAAACTTCAATCACTTAAATTCTTCCAAAAAGCAATATAATTTTGGAATATAATTTCCATATGCAGTCATATTCCATTGTGTGAGCGTGCCATGCCACTGGTAGGTGTTGCTCACTGTAATGAGCACTAGTGAATTTTCATGGTAAATGAGAGAAAACATTGACCGCAAAGGAGGATGTATTAGCCATGAAGTGTGAGAAACCATTACTGGTATACCTGATTCCTCCTGAACTGTTTCAAGAAATAGAGGCTTTCGTTCTAGATCCTGCACCACAACTGTTCTTTCTTCTTTCTCCTCTTCTTTTATTGAGTTTATGTCAAATGTTTCAAGAACACGTATGGCTAAAAAAAGTTATGCATGCATTTAAAAACTTCAAAAAATTAAAGAAAAAAATGGGAGTACATTTTCATGCAGAGTTTGTCTCACCTAAATGCTAACCCTACATAATATTGTTAGCTTATGTTTTGAAAAATAAGCTTCCAATACCATCATTTGATTTGTTCAACAAATCATGCACTACACACAGACAGAAACAGCAAAGAATTGCTGTTTGTTTGTTTGAGAAGATGACATATTTTATGTTTGGTAAGCTGTTCAATGTCTGTTAGTCCTGAGCATGAGCAGTGTAAGCAAACATACATGCACACTGCTTAATGTTTATTATTAGGAATCAAATGCTCAGGAAACATATAGTCTCTGAGAAATGTTTCCATACACCTTGAACCCAAGCATCAGTTCACTAGATACTCATTCCCCCTTTCTGAAACATTACCTTCTCCTAAATCCCAAGGAAACCATTTGGAAAGCAAAAGGTAAGGTACATATGAGCCTCTTTGCATTTTATCCCCAACACAAATATCTACATACTGCAAGACTGGAAACAATCCATAGGTTTGTAAGCTTCCTGCCTACACTGCCCACGTTCCTTTCAGTATATTTCAGCTTGGATGTCATGATAAGCCAGGGGCATAGAGATTCTTGGCTTTTCAGGGTCTAGAAATCATGCTGAAACAAACTGTCCAATTGCTCCCAGGTGGTTCCCCCTATCAGTGAGAGCAATTTGCAAACCATGGACACTGTGTTTTGCTTATTGAGACATCTAAATTTGAGATACTGTCTTATCTATCTCCAAATCAGCCAGATTCATAATTTATGATTTGTTGCTTGTTTATGACTCCTGACTTGTTTTGGGGAAGACAAAACAGAACCATGTCATGGTAAAAAAAAATCTATGGATGGAAAATTGTTTAACTGAACCCACTGGCAGAAGGAGCCAAGTAGAAGCAATGTGACATGCCAACTGGCCATATGAATTGAGAATAATGCTCAAATTGAGAGATCATTTCATTATCTGAAGTACAATCAGGTGATGGAAACCAAATGTCCCTTAGAAAATTCGATATAGGGGATATAAAAACTTTTTCAAAAGCTGTTTGCATAACCAGCTGCATGGAAGTGGAGGTGCTGGGCAAGGTTATCATGGAAACAAAATGCTTACTCTATAAACGAACACTTGTTTCTGGATGAACATGTGGATTTCTACATCTCAGATAAAGCATTTTAATTTTGGTTTAACTACTAACAAGATCTTAGCAATAGGTATTACTGATCCCTATTAACCAGCACTGCACTTCTGTTTTTTTTAATCATTTAGCAATGCCTCCGCTGGCTTAACTGCATTCACAATAGCACTTGACTACAAATGCCTGGGTGACTTCTGATTTATACTGCCACTTACATGCAAAAGAAGCATGGAAAAGCAGACTTAACTACTGAGGTTAGGAATGTTGAACCACACTAAGCCACACTGAAATGAGGTCACACTTGTACCTGGCTGTTTTTCTAATTGTTCCACTAATTTTGTTTCTGGATCTGGAACTCTGAACACTTCCAAGTTCAGCTCTGCCTCAGTCACTATTTCTTTTTCAGTATTCTCAAGGGTATCTTTTGCTAGAAGAATTGCATAGTTAGTATACCATCAGCATGGCTTCACTTGAAAAAAAATAGTGTTGAAACTTCAACATCCACAGTCAGTCAACATCTCCATAATGAACAAAGTGTAACAAACAGTGAGGAAGGTTTCACGTTCTCAAGAACTCATCAAACTGAACATATAAAAAATGGGGTGAGGAAAAGAGTTAGCCAGCTCTGATTTCAAAAATGGGGGTCAGCCATTGCTTCTTCTTTCCAGTATCCTAGCTACAACCTGATATGGGCAGCACCTAGCAGAGCCTAATTCATTTAAAGTCTCCATTTTTAGACTGGTTCTGTCTTATTTTAACCCCACTTTTTACACCATGAAGCCTGACAATGAATACTGGAGAACATAAATTCGTGCTCACTACTTTGTAACATTTTGGTTGGTGCTAATAAATATACTCATCACTTGTGAATAGTGCATTTATTGTTCTTACAACACAACTACCTTTGCTTTATAGAACACTGGAATTTACTTAGGCTAATAAAGGCTTTGCTTTTATTTCACATAAAAAGTCTAGCATATTATAGTGCAACATAAATATTACTCTGTTGTGCTGCTCTAACAGCAACTCATGCACACATCTGAAGAGAAGAAAGAGATCTTGAGACAAAGCTCCCCACACCACATATTCATTTTCTAAAATGTGAGTACTCTGTAATTCTTGTGCTGAAAATTATTATCCTATTTGCAATCTTAACATTATATTCAAACTCTGCCTGGATTATAGCACATGTTACTATTTTTAATGTTGTTCAAGCTTTACTGTTCATGGTGTCATACACTCAAGTGCGTGTGTGCAGCTTAACTATATCACTAAAGGAATAGTTTTTCTTGATACCTCCTTTCTTGGAGAAGTGATGCTTAAAAACTTCATTGTGTATCTTCTAATACACATTCTAGAAAGTATCTTTATCATTTCTGTAGTTAGTGCTCTTCAACTAGGGCTCAGTTCTTCACATTAACCTTTTATTCTGACTTTTATTCTTAACAATAGGATATAGTCAGAGCATTTTCCTCACTAGTATAAAATGGTTCAATTGTTATAAGTAGTTCAGCAAATGAAATAGGATTATACCTGTGTATTTCCATCTGCATGAAGCCAGCTGTCTCATAACTCTAATGTACATATTTGAACAGAAGAGAATTATTTCCTGCACGCTAAAAGGCTGAACAAAGCTACTTGAGAGAGCTGGCATCTTTCTACAAAACACAACAAAGAGCACTGTAGCACATACCAAAGCATGGCCTTTTTGTACTGCTTCAGTGTGGAAGTGGCAGAATTATGATATTTAACTTCACAAGTAGCTCAAAAGAAAGTGCGTTCTCTTACATTATCTGACAGAAGATCCAAAACAGAACTGACAAATTCAATCAAAGTACAAAGCATTTTCCTAGCCCACTAAAGTCTGTTGAAGGAAGGGCTTTGAGGACTGAATTAAGAAGTGACCAAAAGTGTTCAAACCACTAAAATCTGAATTTATTTCTTTAGAAACGAAAAGTTACATGCGGAAGCATGTGAAGCATTTCAGAATCAGATTAAGATGTCTCAACCAATGAAAAGACAGAACAGGCACCGCAGAGAGAGTCGGAGAGAGAATCAGAGCTACCCGCAGTGATACCTGGCTTCTCCTGAAACTGTTCCACAGGTTCTGATTCCGGAACCCCAACCAACACAACATCCTCATGCTTCTCCTCCTCTACGGGTCTGAACTCAATTTTTTGAGAGCCACGTTTTGCTGAAGAAATTGTGTAGATGTTACAGAATATACAGAACATAGTATGCAGAAAGAGAACGTTGCAGATTTCACTTTGGATATAATTATTGTTTGGTCTTGCTTTTTGTTGCTGATTTTTCAAACTGACTTTCAGCAAAATGAAACTTTGCCTTAATTCTTAATTACAAATCTAGAATTCTATCTTAAGAAGTACACAATTGTTAATTACTTCAGACAGGAAGTACTAGAATGCACACCATTATGTCTTTTAGGTTATCCTACAGTGCTATGTTTATGAACATTTCAAAATTCTAGGGTCAGTTCTTACATTATCCTCTAGCATGGGAGTCTTTACAGAGCCACTTGTTTCCATGCATCCTGCACTGTGGCTCTATACAAAACCAGCATTATTCCTCTAGAGACCAGAAAGTGGTTCCTAACATTACACAGCAATGTGGGAAGAAGCAGAGTGGCTCCCATGAAACTAAGGTAAGGTAGGAACTAGGCCTACATAACTGAATCCCAAAATCTTTCTTCCTTTATGCCATGAACAGTGAATTAACATTATGAAACTAATTAATGGAATAATTTAGCATATCAATTGGTAGAGTACAGTCTTAGAATCAATATGAAAATCTTAAACTGAAGATCTAAGAGGAATCTGGAAACAGTAAATCTACATATTAAGACGGGTTTATGAAGATTCTCACGGTGAAGTGGAGAAAATTTTTGATACTCACCACCATCAAGGCTTCTAGAGGCCCTCTTACTTGCTGTTCGTTCAAACTGCGGGGCAGGTCTGTCGATCAGGGCACTAGCTTGCCTTGTCTGTGCCTGTGTCCGACCACTGTAGCGAAACTTAGAGCCAAGTACCAGGAATCTGCTTTTGGGAATTGCTTCAGTGGATGTCAGCCTAAAAGTCACACAATATTTCAATTTAACTCATTTCCAACCAAAAACCAATAATGCAAAGAAAATAAGATCCAGCATTGTCATGTAATAGCACCTATATGCTTGGCAAAAATCAGTAGGAACCATCATGTTACTCTTCTGATTTATGATGACAGATGGAATGCAACACCCCAATGGTATCCTCAAGTGCTCGTCTTTGTTTTTACACATATGAGTTCCAATCACTCATATAAGGAAACTAAATTGTTGCACTTAGGTACAATATTGCTATAGGGGCAAACCCACTCAAGATGGCTTGGTCTCCACCAAGACACCAAGGAAGGTGCGATGAGGCAGCATGCACACAGAGATGGATCACTCACCCTCTTCTCAATATTCAGCAATATACAGTCTTCCCATTTGCATGCATACCCATCTCTAACAGTAATCAGCATTTCACAAGTACACATGCCAATAGCACATTATACATTTCCTGAAATGTTACAAGTACATACATTTAATAAGAATTTTAGTTGCCAGATTATTTTATTTAGAGTTATTGTTTTAAATGGTTTTATTATCAATTGAATGTTTCATTTTATTGTCATCTTTTAAAACTGTTTTTTATTGTTTAAAATTAATTGTTTTTAATTGGGTGTTGTACAATGTAAACCTCCCAGAAAGTCATTTGGATGCAGCATATAAGTATAACAACTAAACAAACAAACAAACAAATCAAAATGGAAAAAATCTACATACCTGAAAAATGTGTGATGTTCCACACAGACTTTCCACAGTTTCTTAGCTGCCCGATAGCTAGGAAGTTTGAATCCAATTGTACTTTCATATTGTTCATGCTACAGAGAACAAGACAAAGTAAGTTCCCTTTGGCACAGGTTGACTGCTCTTGTTTTAAAATATTACTTTTCAAAAATAATTCAAAAAGAAACATGAAATGTTTTTTGAATCTATTAACATTATAGCAAGATTTCAGCAATTCAGAGAGTCAAATTTCACTAAAACAGAAAAAGTAAAGGAAATACCTTAATGTAACTGTTAGCAACACTTGCAGCCCTCCAGTATGTCATTGTTCATCAGTACTATGAACAAATACATCTAAAACTGGAGTGAACATCTATTTTCCAACATGAACTTAATAATTAGTATCAACACAATTCAGGAATCATTTCATTGTCCTGAGCCCAGAAAAACACATTTAAAAGAGTAGAACACGCTCCCTTGTGGATACCTCTAGCCAGGATCCAGGAAGCTGCACTTTGTACACTGTCCAAACTATGATCAAGGGTAGCCTCCCGTAAAACACATTACAGCAATCAAGCCAGAACAGTTAATTCCTTCTTTCCTCAATATTTTTATGAGATAATAAAGATACAGAAATTGAAATGAAAATAGCATATGACTCCACAGCTTACCTCACCAGGACGAATCTTAATAAAAAAGCTGCTGCGCTTGTAAGAAATCTTCAACACTTTGGGCCAAGGGAAACGATTGATTCTCAATTTATCTTTATAGACAAGAAGGCCACTGGAACAGACTCCCAAAGTGATATCCACACCTTCCAAATCCTACAAAGGTTAGCACAAGTTAGAGCATACTTTAAAGGTGCTTGCAAATCCACATTTCAATATAAAACCACTTGGCCTTTGCCCCTTTCTCAGGGCTAAACTACATGCTCTGTTGCAATAGGTAAAATGTGGCTGATCACAACTCAGGGAAAAAGTACTCATGGCCCCAATCCCATGAATGCGACTAGATTTAGAATTTGTTACAGTATCAAATTAAACAAAATAAATCTGCTCATCTTAGAGGTGCTAGAAAACTCAATTTTTACTATTTACCAGACACTGTTTATTATCTGTAATGCAAAAGATATGCTTTGGTTATAACGTGCACATTGTTTGAGCATATAGTGACATTTCTAAAGGGTGGTTGAACTACGTCACCTGTAGGATGGATGCCCCACTTTAGACATTAAGCACATCTCATTTTGAATGATACAATGAAACCACTATATGATGGGAGCTGGGCTGTAGCTATATTAGCAGTTGGGTTGGCCCTGTCTTAGAAAGCAAGTAAACCTGAAAATGTTATGGTTTGCAAATGTTAATGAATGAAGGTTGCACAACTGGCAACTTTCTTCCTATCAGGTGCAGCAGCAGAAAGGTTGGGGCATAGAAGAGGACACTGTTTGTACAGAATGTAAGGACTGATTCCTGGGGAGGAACTCTCAAAAGTTGGGTGTGCTCACCAAGAACTTGCACTCCGGGTGAGACAAGAATCTGGGAAGGCAAGTCCAGGAATCTGACAGGTTCCCACCCCTCACACATCCCTATGAGTATACAAATAAGATGAGAAAACTCTTGGCTACAATCTCAGTTTTACTTCTTCACAATAAAGTACCCTTTTCAGGGGGATATCGTAGTAATCTGTAAATGAACCACTAGTCTGATTCAAATGAGTTTGGATTTCTATGAATCTGATTTGCAAATTCCACAATGGACAGGCTTTTTCTGAATCACAGAGACTTGCAGACCCTTTTTCACTTTCTGTTGAGGGAGATGTGCACTTGAGTAAGTACATACATTTAAATACAAAGACAACTTCAAGAAACTGGAAAAAATAGATTTGTGTTTCCACTTTCACTGACATTTGGGGCTGGAATAGGGCATTTTTGCAGAATTTCCATTCAGGAACAAAGTCACCCTAAAAGAAACCTGATGACATCAATGAAAGGACTATGGAACAGAGGAGGCCTGAGAACCCACAAACATACACATGGGATAGACTTTACAAAATCCTTATGTCCCTACTCCCTATTCAAGAATATCATAATCTGGCACTTGATAAGGGAGAATTGATTCAAGGTTGAAAATGTAAATATAAAACCGAAGGCCATCAGAAATAAAAAGCAAGAACGTTAAACAATATGAAAAAAAATCTTTCTACCTTGGCTTGATGTAGATCAACTCCATACATAGACAGCTTTTTGGCATTTTCAAGAAATTCCAGATCAGCTTGAGCCGGAGTCATAGATCTACATAAATATAAAGATAAGGAGCTGAATACTTGCTTACTTTGCAGGTACTGCTTTTTCATAAAGCATTATTTCCAGTTCTTTGTTAAGTCCACTGCTATAGTATGTACGTTTTAAAAAACACAGTATGGACAGAAAAAGGAAAGCTGGGTACTCACTGTGAATTTCTACTCCAGTTTGGTACACAGGAGACATGAATTCTGCGAATGGTTGAGCACTTGCTAATTATGTTTTATCAAAAGGGGTGTGCTGGTCCCTAACAGAAATGTCTTTTTTGTTCTGTCTCTTCAGTTATATCTACACTTTCTTCCTCTTTTGTTTCTGGACCCTCAATCATTGCTTCATAGAAGCTCAGCTACAAAAAAACTGACTGGAAAGAGATACAGAGGCCAAGGCAAAAAGCTTGGTCATATGCTCCTGGCTTGACCTGGGCAGGAGGAGGTGTTAACCTGTAAGTAATGCTTCTTTGAATTAATCTTGCAAACTTCTTATTTTTCATAGCCAATTAATTTTCACAAAGTAATTTTAAAAATAAAATCATACCAACTCTTTGGAGTGTGGGCAAAAAACCAAAGCAAGCAGAAAAATACAATTAAGATTCATATTATCAAATGAAAGAATATATTAACTTCTCCCTCAAAACCTTTCTTAGGGTTGTAACCAAGCAAGTGATCCTTACACCAGATTCACAAACTGGAGCGGGTAGAGTGCGGCAGAGATACAGAAAGGAGCTCCACTGTTCATGGGATACAGTTTCTGAGATAGACTTAGCTATACCAGTAGAAACCAGTAGAGCAGTAGTACAAAAGAGTTCCATTTTTCTGAACATGGGGCAGGAGGCAATTATCATACAGGCTAAGGCAAGAGGTGGCTGGATTTTGTCCCCATTCCATTGATTCTTATATTTATTTGTAACTCCCTGCCCCACAAAAAAGTATGTTGCCATAGGAAGAATGACCATTTCACATTCCCATCCTTGTCTTCCCACAAAGCATAGCAATTGGAGAGCTCCTGGTGAAGCACGCCCTATAATCAGAAGTGGACTTTCCAGTCAATCAACTTCATGCCCCTCTCATCAGCATTTGATAGAAACATAAGTGAAAGGTACAAGTTTAGGAAACACAGTTCTGAAAGTCAAAGCCTGAACAAAGCCTCTTTCAGGGCCTGGGTACAATTCTGGTCACTTCAGAAGAGTGACCTTATGAGGTACAAGAAATATTCCAAAAGAGCCAAAGTTTAGCTTGGGCTTTGGGTGAATTTGATGTGTTATTTCTACCATTTACAGATGCCCATATTTCTTTTTTACACAGACCACTTTCATTAAAGTTATATAACATTTTTTCTCTTTAACTGATAGACTTAATATTCACCTATATGTTTTGTGTAGTTCCATGACCTTATCTTCTAGTTCTTTCGTTTGGTTTGGGGCCAGTTTGAATTCCGTGACATAATCTGCACTATGCAGATCTGGGTCATGGTCTCCTAGCTCAGACTGTACTGTGTAAGAACCCAGCAGAGCTAATGTAGCAAAGGAACAAGGAAGCCGTCCAGTGATAATGTCTTTTCTCAGCTGGAGACATAAATAATATCTGCAAAGAAAAATAAAGGCCTCATAATATGGAGTTGAAAGCATAAATGCCAAAATTGATAGGTATAAACACCTGGGACCGTAAAACTTCACTTGCAGTTTTCAAGATGTACTTTCATATGACTGAAAAATGGACCAGGACAGCTTGCCTGAGATCCAAGTATTACATGCAAACTTTCAGCAAACATTTTCTAATGCAGCAAGAAAATGAGGATGCTCACTGCAAATCTGGAACAAAGCCAGAATCATCATTATCACTATGTAATTATGCTTTTGAGATTTCTTCTCCTTTGTTATTCAGCTGATGAACTGCAGGCCATAAAGTAACTCTCAAAAAGAAAAGTATACAGGGCAAGTAATTAATCTAGGCAATATAAAATGGAGGACAGGATACAGAGGTCCATGAATGTACAAACAGAGCCTGGGAGGAATATGTACAGTACAGTCAGCATCATATACTTTGTCCAGGGGTTTGTAGGCTCATGGAACCCCTGCCTCTTGTTCTGTGGTTGTGCCCAGAGCATGTTCTCCTCTGCAGCACACAAAGCAGCAATTACGGATGTCCTATGTCACTATGTAAGGTGCACAATGCCAAAGATTTTCAATTATATGTTTGTTGTTTCTGGAATTAAAAATAGTCAGTATTATACCCAGGACCGAATGAATGATTTTAGGTACACTCAAGAACCTACATGCATCCGTGGGATTTTTACCCTTTGAACATTGGATACATCCTATTCTGAAACATCGTAATACAAACTGCTTATGCATTTCCTAATGTAGTATGTCACTGGGGGAGAGTGGGGCTTACAAAAATAGTCACACATGTTATCTGGATCCCAGGTACTATGTTCAAATTATTTTTAAAAATCTTATGTCTTTGTCACAGGTTTATCTTGTGTACTACTTCCATTCCTAAATAAGAGTTTACTTGAATGTTTGCATGTTGCAAACCTTGTTATATCCTCTGTCAATTGTGCTGGATCTGGAGGGTAAAATTTGACACTGAAGGTGAAATTCCATGGGCTTCCTGCAATTAACACAAAATATTTATATTTATTTATAAATACTTTATGCTGCATTCTAGATAGCTTACATTAAAATACCCAAACAATAACAGAACAGTAAAAATAAAATCAATAAACAGCAGCAAAAATAACAAAAATCTACTCAGTACTAAAATCTATCAGGGAACCTGAGCTAAAAACCAGAAAACATCTAATCAAACACTGGAAAATTAGAAGAAAATGGATTGGTCTTCACAGCTTTCCTGAAAACATGCAGAGAGAGGGCAGAATCGACATCAAACAGCAGTCCATTCAGAATAATGTGCTGTAGATGAACTCATGAATTTAAGGTGTCCTGACCCACAACTGGGAAACCAGCAAGCTTTTCCTCTGGATTTCTTTTTTGGTCAGTTTTCAGTATACTGAAAAAGCAGTTTTACTGAAACAAAAATCCCCACAGTGCATAACAAACTATGAAATAGAATTGTGTCCTGTTTACATTTGTGCTGATAGCTTCCATCATCCTTACATGATTCCAGTGATTCGCCAGAGTCAAGACACTTACCATGAACCTGTTTTTTAACCTCTTTGGCAGCATCCAACCATGTCTGTAAGAAAATTGTACCAACTAGTTACTGCACAAAAACTTGACAAGTGTTATGAAGATCTTTGTGTGAAAATGCATTGTCACCACATTAAATGAAATCAACTTTTGGATGCAATTGAGTCAAAGCATGTGACATCACCGACCTGGGGTGTCTCCCTCACTAGGTGTCCTTTCCCTGTCAATTGGGCTGGGTCGAAAGCCTGCTGGGTTGCTGGCTATTGGAAAAATTAAGAAAAAAGAGCCAAGCCATTCCACTGTTAATAATCATTTCTATTCCATTTGTGCTGGCTAAATATGCCCAGAAACAGCCAACCATAAAGAGAGGCATCATGGATTAGATCAAAATCTCCAAATGGCATTAATTAATAAAGGCATAATTGATTAAGGGGCCTTATAGAACTAGCCCTCAAAACCACTGTTTGCTCTTGGGAGGGTTTGCTACTATGGATTGGGATGCTGACCATGGTACTGATCTACCGTATTTTCTTCATATGTACAGTATTGTGCAGTATCTGTACTTCAGCACCTTTCTACATCAGAGCAGAAAGCACACTTCCAACACTGCCAAGTCAAATGACAAAATAGATATGCTTAACTTCTTACAGGCCAAGCCATGTTAAATTTCAGAGAGTTCTTGGGGGCCACATTCTAATTGTAGGTTGGACCAAAGGCAAAAGTCATGGTGCCAAACAAATTACCTTACTTCCCTCCCTCCCGTCTTCTTCTTACCTTGGAGGTTGAGGTATCCCAAATGGCCAGTCCAAAATAGTCTTCTTCCAAAAGGTTGAGATGATCACATACTTTCTTAAGAAGATCCTGTCCTTTTGCATGTTTCTGCACACAAACATATGATACTATTATGGTCATGCCTACCTTCTGCATTCAATGTTACACAGCCAAAGATACAGTCAGCTTCCATAGGCTTAACAGTAACCCCATACGGCTCAGAATTGTATTGAGGATTTTTTCCCTCTTTTTTGTGGGGCCTATTAAATTGTTTACTGTGGGGACTTTTCTGGGAAAAAAGGCTAAACACTACTAATTTTCTCTGGCAAGTATGTAAATACAGAAAGAGATTTACATGTGTTATCAGAGAAAACATAGGGTTGAAAACATAGTGTTTCCTTTTTAAAAATTAGCTATGACTGGAGGAGAGTCAGCTCTTAACCATTTCCTTGAAAAGCAAAATGCTCCAGAAACCCATTTTGTACTTATTTGCTATGAGGGGAAAAAATGGAAATAGTGTGGTATGGTATTAGGTCAATAAAAGCAATAATAGGCTGGTGAATTACAGCCAGTTTAGCACATCTGCGTTTTTCTAGAACACTGTACTTGTGACAGCATCTGAAAGCCAAAGCAATATTTCCCCTTGGAACCTCAAACATACCAATCAACATAAAAGCATTTCGAGCCACAAAGAGAGAGAGGTTTTCTTATTCTTTTGCCATGGCTTCTCTTTTCTATAGTCCAGTTTTATACTCTTTATCTTTCCCCCAGTATGTCTCATACTAAAAGAGTATAAAGGAGACACTTTATTCCATCAACAGTTATTTCCTTCAGCTAACAGTAATTCTCCAGGGTATTAACATGGGATCATGTAGTCAAAGATGCTAGGGACAGAACATGGGGCCTTACACAAGGTCAATATATGGTTATCACTGAAGAATGGTTCCTCTCCAAATGAAGGGATATCTTCAATAACATTCACTTCACTTAGCAAAGCCAACACCAGTTCTATGTTCTGTACACAGAATGTGATCCTGAAAATTATAAAGCAGGCATGCACATGTGCACACACATGCAGGCACACATGAAAGGCAGAGGCAAAGCTACTGATATACTAGAAGGCAGAAACTTGTCTTGTATGATAGTAAAATATAAGTAATGTTTGAATAGATCCACTGACCAAATTACAATATTTAAGATAACTGTTTTGCTCAAGCTGCCGTAGGAACTCGTGTATGTACACTGAGGTTCAATCAGGTGTTCATGGCATTAACAAGCACAGAAAGTTCTTGTTGCTAACAACCAGACTGACAAAGCATTTTCTCTAGTATTTCATTTGCTGAATATAAGAAATGTAAAAAACCTAAAGTCATCCTATAAAAAATGAGTGACAAAGCATCTGGACACATTATTCCTTTTTTTATTTTTCTCTTTGTAAAATTATATTCTTTATTTCTTTACTATAAATGTCATTAGATAGCTTTTTGCATTCACCAAGCTCCTAATTTACTTAAATTTATTGAGACTGTGAGCACCAGAAAATTTATTGAGACTGTGAGCACCAGAAAAAGACACGTGTATTTTTGATTAAATTGATGTTATTCATTTTGGAATCATCTTGAAATTAACTGGGCTAGCAATCTGAATAAAATACTGCTCTGATTCTCTGCTTTCTGGGCATTTCTGTAGCATTTACATTAAAACGATGATTTGTGTACAACTACTGCTGGTACATTCTTTCACTGGTAAGTATTTGAATATGGAGTAATCCAACGGAATTATAGTTTGGCTTTGCATTGGTTGCCAGTTCACACATCACAATTAAACCACACTGAAAACAAGCCACAGTGGGTTGGTTGTTCATTTACTAACCTACTTACTCCCAACAGGGTAGCTTGCTTGTGGACAGTAAGCAATGATGGAAAAATCTATTTCAGGTTTGCACAATATTATAAACCACCCTGAAACAATCCATGACAACAACCCACCATGGCTTATGATGCTGGGTAAACCAGGGCAGTGTTACAACAGATGTGTATACAACAAACGTGCATACTGCCATATGGATTGTGCCTCCAGTGAGGAGCAAAGGAGAGTTAAGGAAGAGCCAGTATGTTACCCTTAGGTCAAACTTTTGATATATCTTCTCTAATACTTACATCCACAGAACACTCAAAAATTGTGTCATCCAGCAAAGTAATCTTGCAGTGCATGCTGTTTCTGGATCTTCTTAATGTTTTCTGAGCACCTTTTAATTCCTTGTCTGCTTTCACCTTAGTGCCCTCTTTTTTTTCATCTGTATTGGAGCACTCGACCTGCTCTCCTTCCTTAATTTCAGTATCTCTGTTCTCTGGATCTTGATCTTCTCTCCTATCTTCCTGAGCAGGCTGAGAATCATAGAACAAAATTTAGCATCATTCTAGAGAATCAACTGCTGAGTTATAAGTCTATATTTTACATGATTGTCTTTTCCCATGCTTGAAAATGCAGTCATATTAGCAAAGTAAGTAATCTTTTAATGGATAAGAATTTGCATACCTTTGGTAACTTTTAATTCCATTTAAACTTTATTGCTTCAGCAGTAGTGTTTCAGAATTTAACTAATCAACAATGGCAGATCAGATAAATGCTAATTTCAAAAATAGAAGCTATTTCAAAATCTTCAACAAAACATGGAATACTAGGATGAAGACAGCATCTTTTGTAACTTTTCATTCTGGGTGAAATAAGTTTGAAAATGATAGAATTTCTGTTTTAACACTTATCTGAGTGGTCATGTAAAGTTTATCTGATGTTATGGGAAACTAAAGGCTACACACAACTTATAGTCTAAATAAATCACATATGGTACAGATACCTAATAAGTATTGTCAGCTGACTGCCTGTTTGACAATATCGGATTGCTGTCAAATAGTCAACAAAAGATTTTAAATTTGTAAATCACCCAGAGAGCCTGGGAGCTAATAGGGTGGTATAAAAATGTAATAAATAATAAACAAGCAAAGCCAAGAATGCCCTTTCATAATGGTGAACTAATTTTTAAGTGTATCATTAGGTCATGGGAAGGGAAGGGAAGGGAAGGGAAGGGAAGGGAAGGGAAGGGAAGGGAAGGGACGGGAAGGGACGGGAAGGGACGGGAAGGGACGGGAAGGGACGGGAAGGGAAGGGACGGGACGGGACGGGACGGGACGGGACGGGACGGGACGGGACGGGAAGGGGAGTTGAATGGGACCTATGAGGCTATCAAGTCCTACCACTTGCTCAACTGCCACTCATCTAGAGCAGGTCTGCACCTTTCCTGCTTAGCAAAGGTGACTCAACATGCTAGCGCTATGTAATGCTACACAGGCAGACCTTGCAAGATTCCCTATTCCCTACAACTTTAGGAGTCTGCTTACAGATTAATATATTTCCTATGCCACACTTTAATCACAACCACATTTTAAAACTTTCTCTTAGTTTTTCAAGATGCCATGGTGTCTAATTCCTGGATTCCATTCTTTTCCAGATTCTTAATTTCAGATGAATGTCTTACATGGAAAATATAAAGTATTTAATAACCAAAATATTTAGGGAATAACCATGTAGTAAACATAATTTGTACAGAAAAATGTACAAGTACTCCCATTATGGTAAATAAAACAGAAAAAAAATGATCATTCCAAAATCTAATAAGCACGTATGCTTATAAAATGGTCTCCCTTCAGTGAACATAATTAATTTCATCATTATTGCTACATTCAAAATTATATAAAACCGACTTGGTAGAGAAGGAAGGTTCTTCTTCCAGCAAGAGCAGTTACAGCAGCCAATCAATTTCATTATAGAACTTAAAAACAAGTAAAATCTTCAAAGGATTATAAAAAAGTTTGTAACCTGTTATTCATTCAATACCAAAATACTACAGACCACTACAAAGTTAATCTTAAGACATTTCAAAAAAATGAACATAATCAGCTCCTGATTGTATCACCCATAGTATCCTGTACCAAAACTGTATTATTTTAAATTTTATATAGTGTTGAATATCAGTGAGGCACGGTTTTAAAACAGCTTTTCACATCCAAAGCAATTAAATATTTACTGATATTTTGCCCTGTCCAATTTCAAAATTCCTGAGATATGTTCAATCACAGATCTTTCTCCCATTTATGCTTGTATGTTACTTCCCTTCCATGTTGCCTCTTTCTGAGTAGCAAATATAGTCTACCAATCAATCCTTGATTGTTTTCATCAACATTTCCTGTATTTGAGGTAAATCACATATGGGACTAATTTCTGTATGAAAGTGCTAAATGCATTTTTGATCTGAAAGAACTGAAAAAAGCTCCTATTAAATTTACAAATTTAAATGTTCTTATCTTAGCTAAACATATTTCCCAGAAGATCCATGCTATGAGATCTGTTCATTATAATAATAAGATTGAAGTGGTGACAATTCAATCAGGGGTAGCATAAAATCCAATAAGAGTTGTACAGTCTCTTCAGTTATGCAGTTCTCAATGTGCATAATATTGGTAGCTATAAAAATATTTGTTTATAGAATCAAATAGAATCAAATAACAGTAGAGCTGGAAGGGGCTAGAAGGCCATCCAATCCAACCCTGTACAGTGCAGGACTCCAAATTAAACCATCTGTCTCAGATGGAGGTCTAGTTGCATCTTGAATGCCTCTAGTGTGGGAGAGTCCACAACCTTCTGAGGTGATTGGTTCCACTGCTATAGTTCTCTAACAGTGAGGAAATTTTAGCTTGCCAGAATCAGGGTTCCTGTGACTTGAGCCTGTTATTCCATGTCTTGCACTCTGGATTGATAGAGAAGAGATCCTGGCATTCCTCTTTGGACAGCCTTTCAAATACTTGGAGAATGCTATCCTATCTCCCCTCAGTCTTCTCAAGGCTAAATATGCCTAGTTCTTTCAATCTCTCCTGGGCTTTGTTTCCAGTCCGCTGAATCCTTTCCTGCTTGTCTGCATCTTTCTTAATCTGTGTGTCCAAAACTTGACACACTAACTCCTATTCCCATCTTATATTGCTGTTAATGTTTTTTTAATTTGTAATTGTTGTTTTATATTGCATTTTACATTTTGTTTTACACTGAATTTTATTTTATTCTGTATTTTATTTTTTTATTTTGTTTCTGTAACATGACTAGGAAGCCTTAAGGCTAATGGGATGGGTTAGAAATCTAATAAATACATGCATACATACTCCAGATGAGGCCTCGCCAGTGCTGAGTAAAGGGGAACTAGTACATCACATGATTTAGAAGTGATACTTCTATTAAAGCAGCCTAAACTAGCTTGCCCTTTTTGCAGGCACATCACACTATTGACTCATATTCAGCTTGTGATCTACAGCAATTCACTTGCAGTATTGTTGAGCAAAATAATCCCCATTTGGCTTGTTTTTCCTAGGTGTACAACTTAGCATTTTTCCCTACTGAATTTAATTCTGTTGTTTTCAGCCCAGCACTCCAACCTATCAAGATTACCTTGGATCATCCTTCTGTGTCCCAGGGTATTAGCTATCCTACCAAGTTGTGCATCACTTGCAGATCTGATAATCATTCTCTGCACTTCCTCAGCCAATGTATTCATAAAAATGTTGAGGAGCAGTGGGCCCAGGACTGAACCCTGCAGTACACCACTTGTTTCCTCTCCCTAGTTTGAAAAGGTGAGCACTCTTTGAGTCTGATTCTTTAGCCAACTGTGGATTCGGCTGGAGCAGTTCCATCAAAGCCCACTTTTAGGTAGTTTGCTAATCAGGATATCATGGGGCACTTTGTCAAAAGTTTGCTGAAGTCAAGATTTGTTACATCCGTTGCATTCCCACAGTCCATCAGGGAGGTTACCCAAACAAAAACTGAAATCAGATTAGTCTGGCAGGATTTGTACTAGCCTAGAACTGAATTAATTGAATGCTAATTAATTTAGAAGTTTGAGGTTAGCCTGAAAGTCGGTTTGTGTATGTTAAAATTCTGGACAATTATGAATGAATTACCAGGAGTCTGGGAACCATTTCACTTTACAAGTGTTTTATTTTCACTTTAGAATAACTCTGTGAAGTTAGTCAAGCTGCAAAACAAAATTTTCTCAAATCCATCAACAGCTTTTGGGGTTGAACAAGTATTTGAGTCTGTATTTCCCTCATCCAAACTTCACACACTAGTTACCATGCCATACACTCATACATGTGTAAGCCTTCAATGTTTTGCTTTGTTTGCATACATATATTGGGAATTAGATCAGGGATAAAATGTCAAAAAGAACAGTGAGATATTTAAGTAACACCATATAACTTATGTTACAATCTAGAACTTAGAATTAGTTAAATAAACCTCTTCACCAGGAAAATACTAACACCACCATTCCAGTTACACTTACTTGAGAATGACCTCCATTAACGTTCGAAGTATAGGATAGGATAAAAATCTTCTGGAATGAGAATTAACAAATTAGGCAGATAGGGAAATAGCTTGTGTCATATTCACCTGTGTTTCTGCACTGCTTAAGGAATGAAGGTCTAAAGATGGGTCAGTCCTGAGCTCAGGTTCAGGAGCTGCTATGGGGGCTTTCAGCAGAATCTCTTCATTAAGATCAACTCCTATATCTGTCTCTTTCTGGCCTCCTTCACCAAATTCCCTTGTTTCTGTCTCGTTGCCCTCTTCCTCAGAAACCTGAGATTTGGGCCTCTTGAGGAATGATGAAAACAAGCGTGATAAACCCCGACTTTCAGAAGTGCGCTCTTTGTTCTTGCTCTGGTCCTCTCGTGTAGGCGTGTCACCATTAGATGTTCTTGACTTCTTCTTTGATTGAGTATCCCCTTCAGGTGCCCTCTCCAAAGAAGCTTCCTGGGTACCTGCTTCAGTAGCTACTTCCTCCTCTTTTGGCGGCTGCTGCTTAGGTGTCTCAGCCTCTGCCACTAAACTCTTTTCAGTTGTCATGATGTTTCTGTTGAATGAAATGTTTAAGAAACTTATGGAATGCTATGTGAGCAAAAAATAGACTGCAGTCACAAAGTTTGTAACATTACAAGTACCACCTATCAGAGTGTTGTTGCTGTGAATAATAACTTTTATATATAACTTTACATGCACATTCATTTTTGAAGTATATAAATATCTAGCTGGGTGCAACTAGATGCAATTCAGCAACTCTAGTTGTTGTCATTCTTAATAGGGGGCACAGAGAAAAATCAAAGGCCAATTTACCATCTCTGCCAAATTAGGTATTAACCCTTTATTCCAGTTTCTCATCTTAAGAAAGCAGTATTATTATAAGTTGCTGTTTGACATAAAAAAGACCCATAAGACAACCTATAATGGAAAATATTTAAACAATATCATAGTGGCTAGAACTTAAGTGAAAACCACACTTCCTTGGCAAAGCCATGTATGTACTGAACTGCTAAAATTAAGGAATTGTGCAACTCCACTCATGTGAGACTAAGCATTTTGTGATCGAGAGAGGAAGTGTTCATGTTCCTGTTAAGAGGTGGCTGTTTCATCTAATCAGTGATGCATTGTTCAGCATGGTAGTTGTGAAAGATAAGAATCACATACAAGTCATCTATATGAACATTTATATGATGCATTTCAAGTTCTCAGGACTTCAGATATTAGCTCAGTAATGCTTCCAACAGTCCTGTAATACAGGTTAGCAGCATTATTACCTCCATCCTACTGATGGAGGGCTGAGAAAAATGTACCATATCCATCTTATCCATGTAAGTGAGATGCTTTAGAGCAGAGGAGAAGGAGCTAAGCACCACTAGGATATCTTATTGGTGCCAGTCTCATTACCTACCCTCTAGAATGTCTCAAAAGCCCTTCTCTGAGGTTCCAGTTCTTTCTGCACTGGCTGTGATATAGGGAGGAGGACCCTAACATGGATCCCAACTAGAGGTTGGAGCTGTTTTTCAACTGCATAACCAACATAAAACTGCATAACCTACTTAGGGAGAACAACATAAAACTGATTCAAATTTCAGTTATACTTTAAACTCTAACATCTTTTGTTAAAAGCACATTTAAGAAAGGCCTCTCTAAGGATTCAATGTACATTACAGCTTCCTTCTAAATTAAAATAAATAATATTACTTCAATTATTCTTTTCCTCAAGTTAGAGAAGCACCATTTGCAGCATTTCATGAAAATGCAAATTAGGTGTTTATTTGCCGCAGAGGTGGCAAGTATTTTGTCATCCTTAATTACATCAGTAGCCAATTTTCTTTCTCAAATATTATAAATTAAATTCTCCCATATGTATACCTCCATAAATATTAGTAAATAATGTATACCTGTAATAAAAATATGGAATTAATGTGTTTCTAATTTATAATTATACCAAAATGCAGCTGGAAACTGACAGTTTTCTTCAATATTATACCTCCAATATAATCATCACACTCAGTTCCCACATTTTTCAGTTTGTGCTTACAGTACAGGATGAACATAAAATAGGTACATTCACATTCAGTAGTAAGAGTGGAATGACAGAGAAACTGAGCTACATTTTGGGCTGATTGCCAAATCAACTTGCTTTTGTTATTGGATTCTATTCAGTTCACTTGGGAAAATACAAACAAAAACATCCTATTTTTACAAACTTATCCAATCTACCACCCAAGCCTTTGAAGTGGAGAATGAGAGACTGGTTTACGTGCAACTACTGGCTTAATTGGTATTTAAACAAAGTAAGCAAGTCACTCCCTAGGGAGGAAAAAGAAATGATATCTGCCAATTTAATAGATGGACCCAGGACAAACTTTGTTTGCACAACCATCTATTTATACCAGCCTAGTCTGCTGACAGGATATGCAGCTTTGAAACTAACCCCACCTATGGATTACGTTAGATGCCTGTCTCCAAGTCTCCTTGAGAATTACATCAGAATTGTGTTTCATAGAGGGAAGCTCTATTAGCTTCAGACAAATAAGTTTAGCAGGGGGCTGGGAATGGAATGGGAAATGCAGAGATGGGCATGCACAAGCAGTTCTTTTTCCAGTGCTTCTCCTTCCTCCATCTTCATTGTTTTCTCTGAATTCTCAAATTCTCAAATGTGATTGCAAGAAACCCTTTTGTGTCCGTTACTCACAAAAAAGTTTTCTGTCCAAGGGAAAACTTTACAATGCACACTAGTGCCTTGACTGAGAAAAATGAAATTAAATCAAATGTTCTGTTTATGCAACCTCCTACACAAGTACAAACCAGAATTTGCAGAACAGAACTAGTGTCCATGTCCCTTCTGCACTATTGAATTTACTCTATTTAGCAGGCTTAAAATACTTTCCCACAGAGAATGGTGTCAGCACATTATACTATCCTAGCAGTATTTAAGCATACAGAAATTTTGTTTTGATATGGGAGCAATCTATTTCCTCAAAATACATATATTTTCAAGCATCTCCAGTGTGCACATTTACCATTCCAGTAAGAATAAGCAAGAAAATCATGTTCACATTTTTGAGTCCAAGGTTCAAATACCCGATCAGTTATCTGCTACATCTTAGTTATAGGTGCAAATATATAGGAACAGGATGTGAGTTTTTAATATATAAATACATAAATACTCTAAAAGAGCTACTGTAATGGGAGTAATACAGTGTTATAACACTGTAACAAAACAAGACGATTCCTAAAATGTCCCTCATTCTTTCTTAAAACACTAATTATCTTTTTTGTTTACCTAAGTCAGCACAGTGGCCAAAACCGGCCAAAGATTTGCACTATTCTGACAGTTGGGCCCATCCTCAGCTGCTCCTGGAAAAGCCCTTCCACAGTACAGAAGACTAGAACAATTATTGATCAGTTACTAATATTCCCTGACTGGGTTTTTGATCTTTTTAATAAGATTGATAATTTAGAGTTAAGTCAATCAGATTTCAGGTCTGATACTGAAACAGAAACATGTGACAAGAGTAAGACAGAGGATGCATAACCTTAATGATTCTCCTGGACTTCTCTGAGGCTTTGTTATGTTTTTGACATTAGGAAAAGCCTTTTCTTAACTTTTAAAAACCTGTTTCATGGTCAATTTCTCTTTAAACAGAACTTATACTTTCAATAATATAAGCAGGGCTGGGGGAGATTTTGAAACATGAAACACTGACTGCAAATATGCTACTTTTTATAAGAACTCCCTGCTTTTTAAAGAATAACTTCCAGATTTAAGTATTACAAGCTTGTTTAACACTTTTGCATTTTACTGGATAAACAGTATTTCAAACAATTATGTTATCTCATTTTTTATTATGTTTACTTAAATTTCCCTAAGAAATTATCAGCAGTTTTACACAGCAAAGTAACATACATACCTCAGCCAATTTAGTATTTGTGCAACAAATCTGAATTTTGATAGCATGAACTTGCTTATAGTAAGAAATTTTCTAGTCTACCTTTCAATTAAAATTAATTTCCAAAGCAGAAAGCAGGATAAATCTAAAACAGCACATTAAAACAAACAGAATGGATGACAACCATAAAAAGTTTAGGACAAATTACAACAATTTATGGAAAACTATAAGGTAAACTATTTCAATGATGAAATGAAAGGCTATTTTTTGTATTTTTATTATGCAATTTGATATATTCAGCAGGTTCAGTCAATCAATCTTTAACTCTCACACTATTACTAAAATGTGTCAACCTGGAATAGGTTCTAATTTCCTCAAATATTATTTTTGTATTACAATATAATTTGTGCATCTCCATGTTCAAGGTGAATGTTTAAAATCTAGCCCTCCATCTTTCACTAACACAGCCACTCCATCATCACACAGTACAAATGTACTCATTTTCTCTTTGTTCTTCTTAATAATTCTGGATTCCCCTCCCAGTTCTGTTATCTTTTGAAATACAGACACAGCTAATGAAGATTTCCCCATTGCATCCCCAGTCCTCACCAGCTGCCTTATTAAGCTTCTGTTTCATTTTGTATTAAAAATACTCAACTGGGAAATGCTTAATATCCCTGCTCCATTTAGGGAAACCTCTAACACAGATGTTGCCAGGCAGACAACAGCGGAACATGGATTGAAAAACTGAGGTAGCTTTTGGCAAGGTTTTGATTGCCCCATTTCTCAATAGTGCTAACTGTAGGTTTCCCTTAGAAGTCCAAACACAGGATTATTGATGGTCTGCAATTTTAAATTTCAAAGGCTACCAGTATGTATGTACACTTAATCATGGGTAATATTCTGTTCAGTAAGACTCACTCAGAAATACATGTGTACTGAATTTCAATCCAAGTAGTTCTCAGAATATTAATTTGAACAGGAAAGATCATGTTAACAACATTAAGAGACATTAAGAAAACCACTGCCATTTAGCTAGTAAAAGAAACAAAGCAGGAAAAGGAGTGGGAGTGGAATTTATCAATGGAATAATGTTGTAGCCCAGTTTAGACATCGATTTACATATGCTGAAAGAATTTAACTACTGAAACAGACAAAATGAACCTCCCTACCTAGAAACTATTGCCTAATGCATTAAGCTGCAATCCAGACATCAGTGAAATAAACAGCAAATTGTCTCTGATATTGGCTAATCAGGTTTATCTTTCTTTAGCAAAAACAAACAAACAAACAACTGCATGGCAGATCAGTGGTGTAGTGCAAATTTAGAAGTGGGGGGGTGCTTTCTCCATGATAGTCAGAACCGCACCACAAGGCCATACACCCCAAGCCACACCTATTTCCAAGATTATGCAACCTATAATTGAACAATAAAAATGAGCTATGTCACTCTGTTTGGATTTCTCTTGAGTAATGACTGCAAAATGAGGGTACCTCTTTTTTGAGATGAAACAATGACAGTTATTTCTTATTAACTTTATTATGAATGAATGATTTCTCTTATTAAATTCCTGTGCCACTCTCCAGCAAAAAAGCTCCACGAATGGCTTGTATGGAATTAATAAGGCTGTTCCTGTCCACAGGCTTACTATCTAAA